GTGCATTCTTTCAAAGAGGAGACCCCTTGAAGCGATTGAAACTGTACAGCAAAACGCGTATCATCTAAATGCCATCGCGACAGCAGATCAGCTTTTCTGTTCTGTTCACTAGACAAATGAACAGCCCGCAACTCGCACTCATTTATTGACAATTCGAACCATAATTCTCTCAATGCTCTTGCAAGTCGAGGATCCAAAATAGCTATCAGTTCCAAGTGATGTGTAGAAGGGAATTCCTGTAAAAGAGATGGCGGGAAAGGCGTGTGAAAATATTCATGAGCAGATAAACCACCACATCCAGACAAACACGCATCCGTCGAGAAGACAGAATCGGGTTCAGACCACAAGGATTGTCCTATTATTGATGTACCATTATATAAGCGCAGAAAGCGTTGCCACCACATAATATCCTTACGGAAGGCTGTGTTCAGATTGATGTGATTTCGCGTAACACTTCGCAATAAATCCAAGACAAGAATAAACGGCTCTGCCGTACACATTTGGTGACAAAACACAATTTTCCAATCAGCGATTGGAGCGTTTAAGTGTCCACTCGTGCAACAACAATTCAAGTTCCTGTAAAGGCTGTGGCGTGACTGACATGGTCATCTCGACAGTGTCAAACTGAACCCCTAAACACGTAACACGCGTTGAGGGCGGACAAGCTTTATCTGTAGATTCCCGCAATCCCAGCTCTCGCAATATATTTCCACAGTAATTAAAGGAAGCTTCCGAAGAAGTTGGAGCAGAAAAGGCCATGCAAACATTTTCCATTCTGGAATTCTTTGCAGAAAAAGGTTACACGGACCCGCGAAGACTTTGGAGGGACGGCGGTTTTTTCATTGTGCGCGTCGTGCAGGAAACGGTTTTCCAACTGCGTGAAAGATTGCCCCCATTTAGCGCGTCCCCGCTCTATTTCAGAAAGTACGGCAGCATGAAAACTGCGGACGGTTTTCCACGGGAATTGGGTGGCCAGATACATAAGAGAATTTAGGTGCTCCAGGCGGGCTTCCTTCTTTTCAAAGGGATAGTTTTCAGTTTTAAAATGGCCGTATACCCCGCAACAAACTCCGCGAGAGAGAGATCGTCGAACTCCATGTTTTTACTAACATATGCAAAACTTAATTCACTATGCGGCCATAACTGCGGGGACACGACGCGGTTAGCGATTTTTGCAAGTTTGCCAGAACGGAGCTTACCTTTACGCGACCGTTCGGCTTTTTCCGCTCGACGAGTATCGGGCCCTGAATCCTCGTTACTGCTACTGCTGTCGGAATCAAGACCAAGGTTTGCTAATGTATGGTCCACGGACTTGGCGATTTTTCTATCCGAACGCAGTTTATCGAGTCCGGGAACTGGATCCTCGGTCGTGGGCAGTTCGCTAACTCTTTCGTGAATTACCTCGTCCACACCATCATGTTCCTCGTCTTCTCCCCTCTCTAGGGCGGCATAATCCCGTCTCGTGTTGGAACGAAGTTCGCGAGACATAATGGAGTTAAATACAAAGAAAAAATACTGAATATAGACAACTAATTTATACGTGCACCATGTGCTTAATTATGAAACTATGAAACATGATAGCTAGTATATATCAAGTAATGTGATATTATCAACTCAGGCAAAGGAAACCCGCCTGGTCAAATTAATTATTTTAATCTAATCAAAATATGCCAATTCTACATTCTTTGGTAAAGAAATAACACATATTCTACAGACCGTCACGCTCAGTTAATTTATGCATGATGTTACGAATGCTAAAACTACACTTGGCGTTTTTTTGCTTTGGAAGCTAAAATATTTACGGGCCAAGAATGATACTTGGCAGAAGACCTATAATATGACTTTCGAAATATATCAAAATATTTGTTCAAAATAATATACTCTCTTCAGCAGAGCTTGCCAAACTTGTTTCGTTTTTGGGCTGGTCGCTCGCCGTGCTATAGAGGTCTTAGTTGAGGGACGAGATCTCGGCTTATACCCAACCAATATCAATAATTTTTACTTTGCTGGAAAGTGCAAATGTTGGACAGTAGACCCATATACCTATCTATACAAAATAAATTTTCACTAGTGAGCAAACTCACCCTGAACTGCCCTAATTTGATAGCAATATGAGTCGCCCGAAAAGTACCGTCGGAGGCTGTTTTCAACTTTTCTAAATTAGAAAATAAATGGAAATCGCTAGACTTTTTAGACATGCATTTTGAAGACTACCCAAAGGTTTATTTTGGTGCAATAAAATAGAATTTCATTTTTGGGTTCTGTCTGTCGATTCTCGACCCTTACGGACATTCGCTCTTAAATTACTGAATACATGAAAGGGTTTTTTCATTACCAATAGTTAATAAGTCATATTGACATGCATATCAAATTAGAACAATAATGTAAGATGCAAAGGCATTAACAACATAAAAATCCTATTCGTTCCGAATACTTAATTTTTTGAATATTTTCCACGCCAGTTTGAGTTTTCTGTTTTTGCATTTTCAAAGCATTTAGCTCAGTATTTTTTTGTGTAAATAAATAAATACAATAGATGAGAAACTATACAAAAAGGTGCTGTAAAGCTACAAGTTAAAAGGGTTGTGACTTACCCTCAATGATTCTACTATTCGAAAAAGAAACAGGAACACTGTTATCATATAGTATGATATAGATCCAATATAGCATTACTTATGGCGCGTTTTCAGGGTCAAAATTCAAAACAAACATTACGGCATTTTCTTACTTTGGAATAAATTTCTTACCCGTTGTTTGACTTAAAAATCATAAAAGTATGACATTTCTTGACTTAAAAAGACTGACTTGTAAAGTACATCGTACAATTGTCCCCATTTCTTGACTTTGAATTATTAAATTGTATAGAAACGCAAAAGTATGACATTTCTTGATTTAAAAAAACCTCGTCAATATTCTGACTTGTAAAGTACATCGTACAAATGTCCCCATTTCTCGACTTTGTCAAAGATTTTGAACTTCTAAATCTGTTATTCTAACCAAATATAAAAAGCTTATTTAGAAAAAAAAAAACAATTAACCTCGCTTTTTTTTATTTTAAGTTCTTTCGATCAAGTTAATTCGCGTGTTCTGACGGCACCCTCCGTTTTCTGACTTCTCATTTCTACCAGGCGTTCCTCTAGATGGCAAATAGAGAGAAACCTGGTTAAACAACATGGCGTCCGTCCAGACTGAACAGCAACAATTTTTGAATAATCTTCGTCTTAGTTTACTTGACCTTGTGAGATGACTTCAACAAGATACGGTCGGTGAAGATGTGTGTGATTAAGTGCTGTTTCGGTTGCAGCAAATATCTCGTCATCTGGCACGTCTTACTACAACATGCAACTATTCGATGTGGTTCGTACCTCGCTTTCAGAAGTAATGGGACTATTGTCCGAGTTTGATCGGAATTGGACTCGTACTTTAGCAAGGCTTTTATCCTTCCATCCCAKATCGGTGGGGCTTCCCAAGTTTGGGATACCGCGAGAACAGCTACAGTATCTTGTGGATTATGAGATAAGCATCCCTGACATCGCTATAGCACTTGGCGCGTGGGTGGAAGCACAATAAAAAGGGACTGCGAGAACATAACATATCAATTACCGATAAACGAATATATATATCAGATGGTGATCTTGATAGTGTTGTAACGGCTATTCAAGTAGAATGCGGGATATCGCAGGAAGACATCTCAGCTTGCCCTGCATAATATCAATGTCTCTCAGTTACGAATTCGTGAATGCATGCAAAGGGCGGATTCAGAAGGCGTAGCTATGAGATGGTTATCTTTAACTCCAAGAGCTGTGTACAGTGTCAGTGGGCCACCTGCTTTGTGGCATGTAGATGGGAACCATAAATTGATCAGGTATCAAATTCCAACATGATTAAGTTACATGATAGGTTAATAGGTGAACCAAGTGACCACTTGAGAATTTATAGGCACTTCAAAGCTAACTACATATAATAACATCTATTTCTCACCTATTTCTCAGCACACTTAAATGAAAAATGTTTTACTTRAATTAGATAGCGGATTGTGGTACATGGTCGCATAGATGGTTACACACGACTCCCTTTTTATCTAAGAGCTGCAACTAACAACACTGCAGATACTGTTTTGAGTCATTTCATTGCAGTAGAAGCATACAGAGTACCTTCGAGAGTAAGATCGGATTATGGAGGTGAGAATGTTCAATGTATCAATGTTCATGCTCCAGCATCCACAAAGAGGCATTAGTAGAGGCAGTATGATAACAGGTAAAAGTGTCCACAATCAACGGATAGAGAGACTATGGAGGGATGTTTTTRAAGGGGTGTTGTTCATACGTCTTCATTATACATTTGTACTACGTATTAATTATCATCTAGATACCTGGAGAGAAGGTTATATGGGACACGGGATAAGAACAGCTGGCAATAGGTCACCTATGCAGCTGTACATTTTGGGACTTCTACACATGAGAGGAACTGACTCTGCAGTTGCAAGGGAGATTTATGAGTCGTTGTTACATGTGAGTAATGAATAAATTAATGATAATCAGCTACAGTCAAACCTTTTGGGGAATAGTGCTATTGAAGCTTTTTGCAACCTTACACAGGATTCTGCCATTAGTGTAAGGTTGCGGTCACACTAGGATTAGATTTTTATGTTAAGAAYGGTATACGAGTGTGACATATGAAACCTGGCTTATCGGACATTGAAACCCGTGCCAGGTCACACTGGAAWAAGTACTTAGTTAAGTAAATAATATTTGACATTTTGACAGAAACCATGCATGTCAAACAAAAAATGAATTGCATAATAATCCTCTTTATTRCTACTGTAGAACATGGAGTCGATACAAATTTTTGTACTAATATTTTCATGGTTTATTCGTTGCCAATATGAAAGGCGTTTGAGGAATAGACGACGGCGATTACAAAGATTGATCTTAATTAATCACTTAAACTTGATGAACAGATTTAGGTCTTTGTTCAATACCAGTCGCAGGACTCAATACATGATTTTAAGGCAGCTAAATCAAAAAKTCATCAGAAGAGGRCTTTGGGTTCTTCCGAGACCTCACAATGGATGGTTCGAACTAAACTGGAATGATAACACCCTYGAAGCCTACTGGAAAGAACATTTTAGAATGAGAAAAGAAACGTTTAGACGTCTAGTAGCACTAGTACGTCCTCACATTACAAAAAGAAATACTCGGTTTAGAACAGCAATATCCCCAGAAAAACGAGTAGCGATAGCATTGTGGAGGCTTGCTGGGGGAGCAATCTACCGAGATATTGCAGTTAAYTTTGACGTAGGGAAATCAACCTGTATTACGATCACAAARGAATTCTGCAAAGCGTTAATCAGACACGCTCAAAGATATATTCATTTCCCTGGGACTTGTCGCRAAACAGCTGAARCTATTAGCGCTTWTCAAGACCTTTGTTCATTGCCACAAGCTTTGGGAGCAGTAGATGGGACTCACGTTGTCATTTTACCACCARAAGACAAATTTGACTRCTTTGATCGTGAACACAACTACAGTGTTATAATGCAAGCTGTTGTTGGTGAAAACTACAAATTTCTTGATACAGCAATTGGGTATCCTGGTTCGATGCACGACGCTCGTGTTTTGCRATCATCTGTTTTGTATAGRCAAGCAGAACAAGAAATTATTTTAAAAGAGCCTGTTGTTTTTATTGGAGGGGTGCAGGTACGACCTTTGCTGTTAGCTGATGGTGCATATYCCTTGCTGTCTTGGCTAATGAAGCCTTACCCTAACACGGCCAATRTTCTACCAATACAACGAAGGTTTAATAGAAGATTGTCATCAGCCAGATCGATTGTTGAGCGAGCTTTCGGGATATTAAAAGGAAGGTGGAGAATTTTATTAAAGAGGCTTGATGCAAGGTTCGAAAATATTCCCGAAATTATCTTGACATGTTGTGTGCTTCATAATTTCTGTCAGGAAGCCGGAGAAGAATTTGACGACCAAGAAATGCTGAGGAGAGTCATAGCACTCGAAAGAAAGTATGCCAGAGCACGACCACATCTGAATGCAAATCAACCCCGAGCCCAAGCAATACGCCAAGCATTACAAAATAATTGAAAAATAAGATTTCACATTAACGATGAAATCATTTTATTGCAGACTATCAACAGACTGTTCGAGTATAAGGACGCAAACTTATATATATAATATTTATGTCAATCACGTATAGCTATATATACTTATATACTTATCTTGTAGTAATATTTTTCTTGTTTGAATGAAAATTTGAATTATTAAAACCATTGATATAAATCGACTATAATATGAATCTAATATATATTTCTCTATAAGCATTTCATAAGTCATAGGTCATCTGATTATTGACACTATGCTGGAACTGGAACAAAGTTTGTAATAAATCWATAAATGCTTGTTATCGTSAGATTGATTTCGGTRGCATTATRKATATATAWWWWAWAKRAWGKA